TTATGAGCCCTTGATCAATTATAAATTATTATTAGTTTCATATCTTACACCAGCCACTGTCTCCCTTCACTCATGTAGACATAAAGGCTGGCATTGTTAACATAAACCTCCAGAAACATCCTTTCAATCACTATCAAGGTTGAAATGTCCTCATGTATATGATATCTGACAACAGGATGTTTCTTTTTTTGAAGGATCATTTTTCCTTGGCAACACAAATCATTACTTGGACCCCCAACATGTTGCCCATGACTTTTCCTCTTGTCTTCTTTGTTTAGTAGGTCAAGAACTAACTCTTTTGCCTTTCTTTGCTTTGCAGGACAGATTGCGCCCCCTAGTCATTTGATTCGGGTAGAAGGGAACAGCCACGCCCAATATGTAGAAGACCCCATCACAGGACGACAGAGTGTCCTGGTACCTTATGAGCCACCCCAGGTAAGAAGAGAAGGACTGGGCAGACTGGAGGAAGTATGTGTTTCCTTGATAGGAAGTTCTTTGGTACTTTTTCTTCTCCTCTTTTCCCCATTCCACTGGTCTATCTCCTTCAAAACTCCTAGCTTTGTGCCAAATAAACTTGGTGACATGACTTTGTTCCCATATTCCTATTGTGAAAGCAAATGGCAATTAAATTGGTGATTGAGTTTAGACTTCTGAAAGTTCATGGAAAAATGGAGTGAAAAGATAATAGCATTTGGATTTTTTTTGTTTCCCCCATGAACTTTGTGAAGCCCCTTGAACATGACTGTGGTAACCAGAGCATTTGGCAGTTGGACACAGGTAGTGGCTGTGCACCGGTGCAGGATGGGAGAATTCTTATGTTAGAGTGCAAGTGGCAGAGCCCGAGAAGGGCTTCTTAGCTGATGTTTGAGTGAAACAGGTGGTAAAACTGGGAGGTACAGTGGTGTGATGAGAACATTGGAGTGTAAGAGTCTTTGGGCTTGTTAGATAGATTGCTATGTGAACCTCTGGCATATGACCCTCCCTCTAAGCTATGAGTGCTGCTTCCATAAATGATCACTTGGGTTGACGTGATCTATTTCTGTGAATCTGTCAAGATGCAATGTATTAATGGTAGAAGTATTCATTCAAATCTATGTCATACAGTTTTTGTTTGGATTTGATTTTTTTCCAAAAAAGGGAAACACATACTTGGAGCATTTCTACCCTCCTGGGTCATTCCGCAGCTCTCTTTGCCAATGATAATTTATGTCTGTGGTGTAGCCAATTGGGCACGGACCAGCTTGCCAATGAACAGGATCAAAAGCATTTATCTGTTACAGTCTGCCCCTCCCAATGCAGTGTCAAATGGTACAAGCCTTAGCTTTAAGGTCTCCCATGCCCGCCTGAGGGATGAACTGTACAGGATCTATAATGGGTTTCAAGAGCTTGCCTGGACACAAAAAGAGGACTATCCCTTCTTCAGAAGTAGAGTGATTTTAAAAGGCAAGGACTTAGAAGGAAATGCATTCGTCCAAACCATTGTTAACACGCTCTCTTTTCCCTTGTGTGCAGGTTGGCACTGAATTCACAACCGTCTTATACAATTTCATGTGTAATAGCAGTTGTGTTGGAGGGATGAACCGCAGGCCGATTTTAATCATTGTTACGCTGGAAACCAGAGAGTAAGTGGCGTTCACAGTAAGCCTGGGCAGAGGGCACCAGTGGAGTCCTTTTTGCTTTCTCCTTAACTTTGCAGGCACAGCAGGGCTCCCTGTGATTCTGTCCTTTGTGCTGTAAATCTCGGCTGCAAACACACCCAGAAAAGATCTATAGAAATGGAGACAGAAGAGGGTGGGCAAAGGGAGGGGGGCAGAAAAAGCACTGGATTGGTGTGCAAGTTGCTTCATACTTGAATTCTTGACATTTGACTGGAATTGTTTCTGATTAGACAGTGTTTGTTTTCATGTGGCCCCCAAGGCATTTCACAGTTTCTTTGAATAAGTCTGGGCTGCTGGAGGGGATTTTTTCCTGAGACATCCACTGGCTTAACTCAAGTTTCCTTCAAAATAAGAAGCTAAATACAGCTGTTCAGTTAATGGCTTGGAGGTTCTTTGCAGAACAAATGGAATGTTATTTACTAATATTGCTTGTGGCATCTCAGTACTTTCGTGTCCTGCCAAGTACTTTGGGGTCCTTCCTCAAAGCTG